GTGTGGGTAGGTCTATGTGGAAGAGCTGTCAGTGCTGAGGGAGAGGCAGCGTGAGGGGCTGGCCTCTTAAGTCTTAACCTCGTCTGCTGCTGCAGGAAAGGCTTTGACAGCAGAGACGCACAAACAGGACCCACGCTCGAAAAACACCTACTCCTCCTCCTCCTGAGAAACCTTTCACTGCCGCACTCTTCGTTCTTCCCCTTCCCTCTTCCTGCTGGTTATTCTGTTGGTCCCAAATATGTTGGCATCTGTTTTTCTAGTTTTGGTGACATTTTTTGTGTCAATAAATTAACTGATGTCCGCCTCCCCGATTGATTGTTACTATTGGTGTTTGCTGCAGTGTTTTTGGACCACAGACTGTACATAAGAAGGGGACACAGTCACAGTGGTGTTGCCCATTGGTTTGTGGACTATGATTTGAAGCCTCGAGTTTGAAATTTCAGCCGTCGCCATCTTGTTTTTTTGTAACCAGTGAGGGTTTTTTTTAAACTTAGAATGCAAAGCTTCCCCTAAGATTTGAAAGCTACGACTGACTATCATCGTCAGTGAACACAGAAAATCTCTTTTAAATTACATATTCAACTTTCAAATATGTTTATTATGTAGGTATCATCATGTTCATCATGATCCCATTGTCTAAGGCACTTAACCCTTAAAAAGTACTACAATGTCAATATCGATGCTTTTCAACGCTCACACAACCACCCGTGCAATCACACGACCGTCTCGAGTTGTCTGATACCATTCTAAAGTCTTAAGCACAAGAACCCTCTACCACCCAACCCAGATGATGTGAACGTTGCATTACACTGGAAAACTTTGGCGCCACATGTTGGCCCAGTCTGGCCTGGGATCAAATCCTGCCCACGCTTCCTCACCCAAGTCTGCCAAACAAATCTTTCCTCCTTCAAACAAACATTTGATAAATGGCCTCCTCACTCTCCTCTTCGCAACTATCAAAACTCTCCCCGTCCTCCTCCTCCTTCCTCAACGAATCACTGTCGTCCTCTCCCTCCCCCCAACTCAGAGACAATTACAAACATCCCTCTTCCCGTTTATCACCGACAATTAAACAGCACGGACGGAGGCGACTTCATGAGCAGCGAGTTGAGGGCGAGGAGAGACGAGAGTCGGCAGTGAGAAAGACAGAGGAAGGCTGACAGCACAATTAAGGTTTTTAATTCTCTGCTTGAGTGGGCCGGTCCAGTCTTTATGCTAATTGGAATGCCACGGCCGTGTAATAAATCTCTATGATCCAGCCTCATTTCCCTTCTGTCTCTATGTCTGTCTCTCTCACAACAGCGCGGAAAGTTCACCCACTACTTCCACCTTTTCGGCTGGAGTGCTAATAGTTTCGATAAAATGGTGTTTTTTTCATGCCATTTTGAACGCTTCCCAGAGATCTGAGGGTTCCACAAGCGTGGCGGCCTGCGCCATTTACTGGTTGGCCAAGCATTCGCCGCCTTGCCTCGACGACGGTACCACTTGTAGTTTCTCTCCCTGTTAACTCGCTTTATTAGTGTTTTTACAGAAATATGGTTTGCATGCCCCCCCCCCCCCCCCAACCAACCACCACGCCTTACAAACAACAGGCAATGAATGCAGAAAATATTCTCTCATTCCTCTCCCCCTCTTGCCTTATCCGCTCATCTCCATTTGACGGACATGTCTAATGATAACATCTGCAGATAGGAGGAAAACAGCACAACAATCCGCAGATAATTGGGGGGCCGCGCTTAAAGACGACGGGGAAAATGAGAGGGATAAGTGCACAACTGTACACTTGTTTGTTGAAGTAGCGACTAGCAGATATATTTTCACCCTCATTTAGATCACGAGGACGCACGCTAATCAGTGCTTCTTTTTTTTGTTGTCAGTTGTTTGCTACAAAGTGTCCCAAAGCCAATTTAAACACAAAATCTGTGGTAAATAAGAAACTGCAGTTGCATGTTCATTAAATAAATGAAGGTGGAAGCAGGTTCAAGCTGATTTTTACTTGAAGAAACACACAATGAGAACATTTTACAGCAGAGTCAGCCTCGCTGCCCATCCGTGATCCCCAGTCTGGTTTTGGTGTGAGGCCTCTCCGGGTACAAAACTCTCTCGTTTGCCGCATCACCGTCAGCCATCTTGTACTGCGTGAGGGTCAAAATGGCCACCGCCCCCACCACCAGGGCCAGGTGGATCAGGTACAGGGCGACACGGAGGCCCGTTAGCAGCAGATAGACACAGACAGTGGTGACACACCAAGGCCAGGCCAGGAGCAGCAGCAGGGAGTGATGCAGGGAGCTGAGGACAAGAGCCGGGACGGACAGGACGAGTCTGAGCAGCGCGGACGCCAGCCAGGAGTACAGAGACAGAGGGGACAAGAGGAGCGACGCCACGGCCTCGCTCACCGACGTGGCCTAAAAGAAGAAAATGCAAAGTTGACGTTATGATAACTGATGAAAAGGGGCCGGCGACGGAGCAACATCCAAATGTATTTGGAGTCGTGGCTCTTTTAGCTCCGTTTTGGTCTCCACCAACTATATATATCTGGCTTTTTAGCTTCTAAATGCTTCATATGTTCACCAGCTAGTCGCTTTTATTTATTTATTTATTTTATTCAGGGCTCGCCAGAATATTAAATATGAAAGGTTTTTTTAGGCCTGGAGGCCTTTTTTTTAAAAATCTCTTATCCCTTTAAATCTCCCGACCCCCAAGTTGGAAACCTCTATAAATAAAGCACGTGTAGGCCCTAATTACTTTAATCAACCTACCTCACAAGGATTTCCATACAAGCTGTCATCGAACATCTCAGCCTTTCGAAGCCCTGAAAAATAAAGCAATGGACAGATATGCAGTCAGAGGAACAAAAAGAAATGGATGTGTCATGCAGCTGCCTCACAAAACAAAAAAAAACTGCAAGCAAAATTATTGAACCGTATCAGTGTAACAGCTCTGCTCAAAAAAACATAAACTCACATAGGAAAAGGAGAATAAGAATGGTTGTCAGCAGGAGCCTCATGTCTCTCAAGCCTGAGAAGAACAAACAAAACCAGTGAACACAAATCTGCTGTAATCTGTCGGAGCATTCATGAAGAAATTCTACCTACTGCTTCCAAACTGGACACACTGGGTTTCAGCTCAAGCCTCGCGCTGCTCCCCACTCTGCAAAGTTTCTCAGCTTCAACTCATTAATAATCCTCAGACATGCCCTCTTGGTCTGGTTTTCAAACCTGTTTCAAACAAGCATGGACTGAACTTCACAACATGAGAATAGAGATTGCAGTGCCCCCTGTTTGAATGGAGGGACAATGACAAGAATCAGTTCATTTCACTTCATTTAGATTTGCACACCTCTACAGGATTTTTATTTTTATTTTATTACGAGGAGGAAACAGTGACTCATCTACCTGATACAGAACCGAAATGTCCGAGGGCAAAGTCAGAATCTAAAACAGGTGAGAGAGAATGTGGCTCATGTCGTGGTTGGAGACAATGGCGGAAAGGCCGGAAAAGAGGGTAAGAGTCTCTCTTACAGAGGTGCATCTCAATGAATTAGAATATCATCGAAAAGTTCATTTATTTCAGTAATTCAGTTCAAAAAGTGAAACTCATATATTATATAGATTCATTACACACAGGGTGATATATTTCAAGCATTTATTTCTTTTAATTTTGATGATTATGGCTTACAACTAATGAAAACCCAAAATTCAGGATCTTGGAAAATTATAGAACATTGTGAAGAAGTTCAATATTGTAGACTCATGGTGTCACACTCTAATCAGCTAATGAACTCAAAACACCTGCAAAGGTTTGCTGAGCCTTTAAATGGTCTCTCACTCTGGTTCATAGGCTACACAATCATGGGGAAGACATTGACACCCTCCACAAGGAGGGTAAGCCATGCACAAAAGGTCATTGCTAAAGAAGCTGGCTGTTCACAGAGTGCTGTATCCAAGCATATTAATGGAAAGTTGAGTGGAAGGAAAAAGTGTGGTAGAAGGTGCACAAGCAAGACTTGGCACCTGCCCACACTGCCAAAAGTACCAATACCTGGGAAGATGAGACGCCAGACCCAACAATGCAGACGAGCTGAAGGCCGCTATCAAAGCAACCTGGGCTTCCATAACACCTCAGCAGGGCCACAGGGTCATCGCCTCCATGCCACGCAGCATTGATGCAGTAATTCATGCAAAAGAAGCCCCGACCAAGTATTGAGTGCATACTGTACATGGACATAGTTTTCAGTAGGCCAACATTTCTGTGTTACTCCATTAAGGTTAAACCCCCCTTATCATCACCTCCACCATCGTTAACACCCCCCCCCCCATCCCCGCTGAGATGCCAAGGAGAAACTGCCGCCAATCAGCTGCAGCGCGGTTATGAAGGGGCGTCCTGTCTAGGAACGGGAGAGGTTATTCAGATGTTGCTGGCAATGCTCGTCATTATTTAGCCGTTCAGGCAGCCATAACAGTCACGCTCCTGCAGCCACTTCTGCCATTACCATGATCATCCACCATTTTCAGCGTCGGGGCTAAATCACCATCTTCCACTGTGGTTTTGAATGACCCAGTCTTAACTTCTCAAGGATACAATTCAGCATACTGTATATGTGGCAACATTTTCAGGTTAACGCATTACTTTTGCATAAAAATGCAGAGACAAAAAAAAAAAAAAAAAGTTTGTAGTTAAGATTCCATTATCAAAACATGTGTATTCAACATGTGCTTTCGAACCCAAAGTATCTAAAGTGACACTCACCACTTACTTTCACTAAATATGAACGGACATAAGCTGTCACTCAGCTAAACTATCACCATCAATCTGCCAAGGAGGAGTGAAGACCGGGAGACAAACAGAAGGATGATGACAGGAGTGTAAAACAGACCACTGCTCCATCAAACTGCTGAGTGAATGAAGAAAAAAACAAAAAAAAAAAAAAACATTCAACGTCAGTGGAGTAGATAAATTAATCTAGATCGTCCATCACCATAAACACAAGCTTATTACACTTACGGGAAACCATTTATTTCGCTCCTTTTATGTCAATAGAAATGTGACAGACACAACGCGACAGACAATAAAAACTAGACAAGCACCAATGAGAAATATAAGCAGACGCTTCGTACAACACAACCATGTAAACATGTACATTAATGACAGTAAATTACATCTACACGGGAGAATAACAACATCGAAACATAAATATGGTAATAAGCAGCCAGAAGCTATACAGTTCATAGCGTTCTCCAGTTTAATAATTATGAAGTAAAAGAACAATGCTCTACATAAAACAAGATACGCTGTACAGGATCCTGGCATGTAATGCACCTTTCATGTAACATGTACTCTGGGGATTGCAGGCTGGCCTAAGGACAGGTTGAAATATTCACTATGAATAATGAAGGGCTAATAATTAATGTGCCGAGACGCCTTCCCGTGTCTGAATCTGTGCATCCATCCCTGATCAGACATCATTTCTTCTTGGACACAAAAAGGCCAGTGTCCATTGGACTTGGACCACGAAGTGACGTTGTTAGGAAAGTGCAATGATTTAGATACTGGACGAGGAGAGGATGTCCTCCACCAGGTGCTTGTAGACCCAGGCGTCTCCCTTCAGTCTCTGGCGCCGGATCCCGATGACCTCCGGCCTCTGCAGCATGCACACCTCCAGCTCAAACGCCATGGTGACCTTCCCGAAGTCACCCCATGTCCGACACTTCAGGGTATATCTAAAAGAAAGGCGGCGCAGGAACATTAAGATGGCATCAAACACTGGGCCGTCTGATCAGGAGAGGGGATGTGATGCGTTATCTTCTTACCCCTTCTGTGTGAAATCAACGTTTTTCTCCGGCAAGATGGAGAGGATCTGGTTGAGGATCTGGTCTGGATTGGTCTGACTGGTCAGAGTAACGTTGTACTGCGCCTAGCGGGAAAAGATGAGACAAAGAAAGTGATGCGTGCAATACTCCAGACGCAGAACGGGTGACAAGTTAGCGTGCAGGAGCAGGTCCCGCGCTCCGTACCTTGATCTTGCGCGGGCCGTCTCGCCTCTTGCTGGGGGTGAGCATGGTGATCATCTTGTCCAGGCCTCTCTCCAGGGAACCGAACACGTTTCCTCCCCTCTTCTTCTTCCCGCTGTCTTCTGTGACCGCCATGTCCAACGACCGAGACCTGGGTTGGCAAACCGGGGTCTCACGTTTAGTCGCTTACCTAACCCTTCCACTAGATCGCGGGTTTACATTTCGGTGTTTCAGGACAGAAACGGGCACGAGTCAGTCCAATTCTTTACTAATTTAGGTGATTATCTCATTCAAACCGACTTAGACTGAGTGAGCGGGGCTGTTAGAATTCAATCACCTGTTAATCATGGTTTAGTCTCTTTAGGCCACCTCGAAGTCTCCAGAATTCTTAAGCTTATCTTATACTCGCCATAGTGAAGCCGGAGCGAGGTGCCCAAGTGGTCGTGTAACTTGGAACACGCGATCCTGTGACTGTCACAAATTGTTTACTGATAAAAGCACTATTTCCATGTCGAGGGATTATACAAAGAAGGCCAATTTGTTTTAGATGCTTAAGAAATAAGGTCTCAAAAATCTACATTTGAGTAAGTAATTCGCAGCCAAATCAGATTATTTACATGATATTCAACCTTCGCTTCTTTACAACGCATTTAATTCTTGACTTGTTTCTTTACAGGGCTTTTATGAAGGCGATAAAGTAGCCCATGAATATGAGGTATGAGTTTGCAGATAATTTCAATTGTGGACATTGTGGAGGTTGGTTTATGATTTCTTGCCGGTTACAACTACAGTCTATGGGCCATATATGGGCATTTCTATGAGTTACACTTCTTGTGTTTTTGATTCTACACAGCTCATTTAGTTTGAGAGCCCTCCGAAATTTCGGACAATAATGCAGCGCACAGCGTATAGATTATATACGCCTATGTGCATGTTTGGAGCTTGCGCACCATCTGCAGAGGCTCGCTACGGTGCCAAGCACGAGTACAAACAAAGCTGTACTTATGCGCTTTATCCTCCCTCCTGCCTCATCATCCATATTCATCCCACTCAGCTGCTCGCTCACACACAAGTTTCTCTCCATCACCTCAGAGCCTCCACTCACCTTCGCTCAGGACTGAAGGCCAGTATTTCAACGTCCGCCAGCTCCTTGAGCTCTGCTGCTCTCTTCTTAATGTGCTCTTTAGAGGCACTGCCTCCAGCTGCAAAACACACACACACACACACACACAGGGACAGAGACCGTGGTTACAGCGGAGTATAGACACATTAACCTCTTAGTCAGACCCACTCATGACAAAGTCTCGCTATGCAGCCAAACATTCAAGGCAAGACATTTGATGAGGTCACCTCACGCTCTGGGAAGTTGTGTTCCAGGTTTTTGTTTGTCTTTATGTTTTATAGACCAAACAATTAGTTTAGAAAATAATATGCAGATTAATGGTAAAAATGGTGCACAAGACATTGACAATATATTTCTATTTGATGGAACCACTGAAAACCAAGAGTTTGGATATTTGAATATTTAACTTTATCATGTCACTCAGCATCTTATAGCTTCAATAAACTGATCCAACAAATATGCGATACTGTCCGGACAATTTGAAACTAGATTATTTATTTTCAAACTTAGCCATTTGCTCTTATACATGGAACTGGCTGGCTTCGTCATTGGGGTTGTTGAACACAAAGGCTTTGGTTAACACAGAGACAAGAGGCCTGACACACACACGCACACACACAGACAGACACGCACACACAGAGAGAGAGAGACAGGCTTTAGTGGCAAGAGAACACATGTCACTACAGCCCACGTGGGACGGTGAGCAGAGGAAAGAGATAGCTACACCTGTCACAGCACACGCCTAGGGACACACACAGACCACAGTGAGTGTGTGTGTGTGGACAAGTTTGTCAGAGGCAGCATGTCTGCTGTGCAGCTTAGAGAACGGGAGGCTGTGAGGAGAGCAGGGCCGAACCAGATTCCAAAGGTTTAACACCAAACAGGTCGGCTGCAGGCATCGCGTTTATAGAGGAAACTAATGAGGCCGGACATCTGAGCAGAGAATTCACTCTGACAAATAATTAAGACTTTAATGATCCTCCATTCATGTTAGCGTCCTTCATTTATAGACCAGTGAACAGAATTAGCTCCCTGATAATAACCTCAGCTTCGAGTTGACAGAGATAAGTGTGCATGTGTCCGTTTTCAGTGGTTTCAGTAATGACAGCTAAATCGTTGGAAATATGAGAGGCTTTGGAGTAAAAACCGGCCCAATAAATGAGTTTATTACCAGAAGACAATTTACTTGCAAATGTGAGGCATGTGGACAAGGCACTTGTGATTACGAGAGCCGCGTGAAGGCTGAGCGAGCGAGGGGACGAATAAATGGAAGAGAGCGACGCGGAGAGGGACAGCTGGCTAATGCAAATAATCGAATGGAGAATGTGCGTCAAGGGCTTGTTTGGAACACAAAAAAACAATTACAGTATACAAATAAAGCGTATGATGAACTGAAGCTCTGTGTTGTCTGTCACTCATTACTGCCATGGGTTGAGTGGACTCCCCTTACCTTTAGGTGTGACTGCCTTGGTTTTGGCGCCATTGACGTGAGCATTTTGGTTGGGCGTGGTCAACACGTTCTTGTTGGGCCGTGCGCTCTTCTTACTGGAAGCAGGAGTGCGAGGAGGAGGCAACGCAAATATCTCGATGTCTTTCTCCTGCACGGTGATGTTCTCCTTGTTCTCGCAGGCTCGCTCTTGGTCTCGGTTCCTCCTGTACTGGCGGTGCTGCGCTGCGGTCCGGCCCCTCTCTGGGGTCGGGCTGTAAGCGTACCTTTTCTCCGCTGGTCTCTTTGGGAACACGGAGAAGAGAGAAACGTGGTGAGGAGATTTTTTTTTCTTCCTCTTGATGGTAAAGAGTCATGGCGCTTCATAATCGCGGCCGGCACAAGTGCGCTCCAACTTTCGCATACCGCGTCTTTGTGGTTCGCTGCTCCATCGGGCTGACCTCGGACTCCCTTGGGTGTGTATTGCTTGCCTTGAATCCACGGGCAGTCGTCAATGTAGTCCGAGCCAAAGTCCAGAGAACCCACAATCACGGCGTCCTCGTCCTCGCTGAAGTGAAGGGCTTCCCTCGCCTGGACACGAGAGAGAAAATAAGACAAAAAGACCACAAAAAACACTTGGTACTGGGAAACAGTAAGTACTTCAGGTGTACAGGGTAGAGACGTAAAGGCAGCCAGTAGCCCAGAAAAAGAACAAAGCATTTTGGGAGTCGTGGCACCGAGTCTGACCTGTAGTCCCTGGTGCAGTGGAGAGCAGGAGTCCTCACACACGGTCGGTTTGGGGCGCAGGCGGACAGGTTTGCCCCTCTTCTTCTTTGACAGCAGCAGCAGGTAGGTGGCTGTAGTCTGGTCGTACCGCCACTGTGGGAGTTCATTTGTGTTAGACTGCGTATCTCACAGAGAGAATGTAAAATATCATGTTTGCACAGAATACGAGGGGTGCAAACATGATTGACAAGAGTAGTTCTCTGTGTCTCTCTGTCTCTCTCTCTCTCTCTCTCCCACCATTCACAACACAAGAAAACCAACAGATGATGACAATAAACATTGAAATGTGAGCACAAACACGCACACACCTCCTTGACCAGTGCCATGGTGCTCCCCCTCGATCGCTTCATGTTGACAGCCATCTCGGTGATACAGTCCTCATCGATGTGGCCGAGCTACAGAGGAGACCAGGTACGTTCACACAAAATCAAAGACAGAGTTTTTGTCCCCCACATTTCTTATTTGTAAGCACTAAAACAGCAATACTCAAATAATAATATACATTTTAAGGATTATGGAATTGTTTCAGGGAAATGGTGTGATGACTGAAAAAAAATTGGAACAATAACTAAATGGATCGAATCAACAGTTTGAATTCAAAAGAAACATGTTAAAGTCTGCAGTCTGTTTGTGTCTGTATTTGTAAAGCAGTGTGTTTGCTGTATGAATGTGTGTGTGTGTGTGTGTGTGTGTGTGTACCGGCTGCTTGCTACGCCACTCCACGGGGCTGTTGTAGTCTGTTATCGCCCACGGATGGTCCAGCAGCTGTCGAACTGTCAGACGCCGCTTGGGGTCCACCTACAGGATGCACACGGAAACTACAACTCAATACGCAAGAGACCACACACCCAACAAGCTGCAGCATGTTTAAAATATTGCACATGTTGTATAAATTATATTCCAATTATGTAAATTCTAAATGGCTTCTTCTCCTCTATTGTAGCAAGTTGATGCTTCGATGTGTGTTGATGAGTTCCACCGTTGTGCAGTGAGACGTTTCTGTGAAATAGCTAAAAAGGGAACGACGGGGGGGAGAGTGCGATTGTTTGTGTGTACCTGCATCATCTGGTTGAGGAGCAGGACACTACCTGGAGACAGCCACTGGGGGTTATCATATTTACCTCTCTGAAGAGGCACAAAAACACATAATCAAACATGAATACGCTAGAAACAGAGGCAAACGTAAATGTTCTCTGCTTTAGGGATTTGATTAATATCCCATGAACCATTAGAGCACACAATCATGGCAGGAAATGGAGACAAGATATTTTAGAGGAACACCAGGATCCAATATTTTTCACACGTCAAATAATAAAATAAAACAACACTTTGCTTTACATAGTTGGGGTTCAGCATTTCAAATGATCTGAAATACTAAACAGCTGGGACCGTGTCAGTGCTCTTACTGTAATCTTCTTGTAGAGGACCATGCAGTTGTCGTCATCAAAGGGTAGGTATCCACAGAGAAGGGCGAACAGCAGCACCCCCATACTCCACACATCCGCCTGGAGGTTACACAGCACGCAGCAGTATTTTCAGCTTTACAGTTAGGATTTCACAGCTCAGTTGCACCGAGTCATGCACCAGTGAATATGATCAGCGCACCATGAAAAAAGGGCAGAATTGGAAGTGGAACAGGCAGGTAATCATGACTTTTTTAGTGGAAATACAAATGCGAGGTTTTTTTTTTTGCATTTAAGGGCAACCGCAGTGGCTCTAAATGTTGTAAACAGTAGCGTGCATGTCTCACCTCTGAACCAATATATGCTTTTCCCTGGATGAGTTCAGGAGCAGCGTACGCAGGGCTTCCGCAACACGTCATCAGCTCATAACCCAAACCTCCCTAGAAGAGAGATAACCACATACACATTGTGGTGGGAGCCAGCAAATAGATTTGCCACCATGTTTATGCTTTATATCCCTTTCTCATTACTTGATCAAACAGATAACAGGTATGATACTTTTGCCACAAACACAATGAGAGGGGGAAAGTTGGTGATTTACCTTCGGTTTGGCACACAATCCAAAGTCTATGAGCTTCAAGTTGTGGTCTTCATCAATCAGCAGGTTTTCCTACAGTTCAAGACGGGCATGGCAGCAGACGTTAAGGCCAGCATGCAGTCACAGAAAAGCAGACACATTTTGTTGTCGTGTCACATCCTCTCAGTCACGCACAGTCAGTGGTGGTCTTTACCGGTTTGAGGTCTCTGTGTGCATATCCCTGGCTGTGGACATAGGCCATCGCAGACACAATCTGTCTGAAGAACACCCTGGTCTCCTCCTCTGACAGACGGTCTTTTGCGATGATGTAGTCGAACAACTCCCCACCTGGACAGTACTGAGATTTTAAAGAAAAGGACAGAGGGGGGATGCTAAATTACCGAACAGGACGATGTCACATTCCCACTCACACGCAGTGTCTGTGTGTTGTGTGCTCACCTCCAGCACCATGAAGATCTGGGTGGAGGTCTCTATGACCTGGTAGAGACGACAGACGTGCTGATGACTCAGGTTCTTCATGGCCTCGATCTCCACCTTCACACGGGGCAGGTCATCCTGGGGGGGACAGACAGTTTGTTGTTTCTATTAATGTACAATTTGGTTTTTTTAATTTGTGTGATTTTTAAATTACTCAATTTTCTAATTAGAATTAATGATTGCATGCAGAAAACAAGGACATCAGCAAACATGGGCATCCAGATATATAATGAAGAATAAAGAACTAAATAAAGACAGATCAGTGGAATCATATTGTGATTAACATGAACATATTCTGTCGCCATTTTGCTTAATTCTGATTTCTAAATAATGACTTCTGTAAAATTGATATTTTGGTTAATATTTTAACTATTGTGAATAATTGTATATGATGTAATGCATAATAATGTTATAAGAGTTGATTGCAATGATAATAATTTTGAAATATTTTTTGCATGCATCTGCCATATGTATAATTGTCAGTCATATAAACTTGCCAAATTCAGGATTTGTTGCCTTTCTTTGTGTCATATCATTGTAAACCATGCAATCGTCACTTTGGGGTGTGGCAATTTTGCGTTGCTATTGTTTTGCCTCAGGTTTCCAGTTTAATGCAAACATCTACAACAGATTTACCAACAACCTGAGTGTGTAAAGGGATTCTTTGACTCACCCCTAGATCCTTCTTGTTCATGATTTTAATGGCAACCTTCTCTCCCGACAAGATGTGTCGACCCAGCTTGACTTTGGCAAAGCCTCCTGACCAACACACAACGTTCATAACACACACATCAGAGAGGACATGGCACCGACAGAGCCGTTTCACGCGCTGCCACACATGAACGCCGTCATTACCTGAGCCGATAGTCTCATAAACCTCATAGTATCTGTGGAGCTCTTCGGCCACGCCGTGCTCCGTTCTTTCCACAGGCATAGTCCCCGCTTCAGCCCCGCACCACGATAAACCTCTCTGCGGTAAGAGAAAGGGGTTTACAGAAGCAGTGTTAGCACTCTCGTTCGGTTCAAGATAAACGTTAGCAGGCAGCTAACGCCCAGCAAGCTAAATAGACGCTGAAAAGAATTGCAGCGTTAGCTGACAATACTCGTTCATACCACCAAAAACAATAGAAGGAACGTCAGTAAAACATACGTCACTACTAGCTGACTGAATGCCGCTGCCCGAAACGAATTTACCTGAATTTGTGTGAAAACGGGAGAGGAAAAAGGTAAAATCAGTTAGCAACCGTACGTCATGTGGAAAAGCACTGTGGCAGAGATGTTTTGTTTCAGAAGTTTGAATTTCGCACGTCGACTGACTCCATTTCCTGCTTCCGTTTTGTGCGCGGCGCGCTCCCTTGTGGCGAATAACAGTACTGCGGCCATGAAAAAAAGAGTTTCAACTTAATGGTGCGTTTAAAGGCTGTAGGTTGAATTGTACCGCATTAAACGGACACACATTTATATTGTAGACTCTCAATATTAATTTTGGATATAGATATTTAATCAACACCTCTCTCAACAACTTTTTTATGAAGGTAGACTGCATTAGTTTCATATATACAGGGAGAATAAGGAAAGGGGACAAACAGCCAATGCATCACAGGTGCACTGCATGATACAATAAAGCAGTAAACGTCCTGTCGTGCTTTATGACATGTGTGAAAATGCTGGGCAGGCTCATTTGAGCACGACCGAGGACCGAGATGGCAAGACAGTGGTGGAAGAAGTACTCAGATTGTTTACTTGAGTAAAATTAGCAATACCACAGCATGAAAATACTCAATTAGAAGTATAAGTCCTGTACTGATTTATTTATTTAACTTCAGTAGAATCTAAGTACTATCAGAACTTCATGTGTACGCAGCATTTTAATGTTCTCGGTGGTCAAGATGGAGCTGGTTAGCTGTGACATTTACCTGACGTCATGACCTCATGTGCATTCATGGGCAGGTATATACAACCAGTGGTATGGAAGGCATTCTGTGTGTTGCAATGGGTGACCTGCACTGCTGCAGGCAGCGGCTGACCAGAGAGGTGTATTTAGGGTCTCAGAAGGTGTGTGTGTGTCTCCCCCTTTCACGGCTCCTCCAGCCTGTAATTAGCAGAAGGTGAGAGGTGAGGTCAGAGGCCACTGCATGTATTTTAACAGATCCCCTGTCTTTTTGTCAGCCAGCTGTAATGACTATATAGAACCACTCTCACTGTTGCAGTTTTATTGTTGGGCTGTAAGCACCATAGTAGTTCTCTCTTGGCTAATGTCTTACATTAAAGGTATTGGAAAGGACATCTTGCTGCACCTGTTTTTGCCAATAGCATGTAAGTAGCAAGGCGTCTGGCAGTCAGGTCATCCCAGTCATGCATTAGACTGTGAAGTATACGAAAAACATGTTTACCGAGTGAAATTTTACATCCTGACACTTAGCCAGCACGGACAGACAGCTGTGGAGGAATTTTTCGTGATTGATCGGTGGTCATCCTGTGTTTCTCATGGTTGTTAGGGAAGGAGTTGGTCGTTCGGGAAGCAACCGGTGGTTAGGGGGCGACCAGGTGTCTGTGGGATGACAGAAACCCCTCATTTGGTTTCTGGGTGCAGCTGGCCAGGACGGGAAAGAGGGACATCAAACAACTCACAGCTGGGGGGGTAGAGGGGAAGAGGGGAAGAGGAGTGTGAGGAGAAATGGAAAAGAGAAGGGAGAGCAGAGGAAGATGAGAAAAGAAAAGGGGAAAAGGAAAGACAAACGTAGAAAATCAGTTGGTATGGTGATGTAAGGACGACAAAGATTTAATTTCATGGCTGAGCTAAACCTCTATTGACTGTGTCCTTTTGCATTTTGACTTCCTTTCCTCTTGTTTTTTTGGCCAGCTAACACGCACGCACGCACGCACGCACCCGCGCACACACACACACACACACACACACACACACACACACACACACACATAAAAACACATTTTAAATAGTCAGATTATGTGGTTAAATCTTGTAGAAAGCAATAGAAAAAAATCGTTTTAGGCCTTTTTTTATTTTTTACAAAACTATCAGTAAGGGCTCTTTTATTCCCAAATCCGCATGAGCTCACAATCTTACTGCACATTCAAAACCTATTTTCAATGTACTGTAACATTCTGTAAGCCAGTGGGTGTCCCCCCCTCCCTCCCCCCCGGGTCCTTTTATAAGATGCAACTCAGAAGAAACCCTTTTTTTAAATGGTTGTAATGCTTTTGAGCACAAGTTCTGTTACAGTCAATGCTTTTAACAGACAGCGCAGAACTTCCACGGCCAGCCTGCATTTGCTGGAGGGATTGCCAATGAAAGTCTTACACATACAAGCTTCAGATGCTGAATCAAAGCAGATTCAATGTCGTTAGCTTAATTCCGCTGCAATCGCATCAAAAGATGATAACTGTATCATCGTCACAGATCATTGTAGCAGCAGCCTGTATGCATGTAAGCTATGCTGGTACGTGTCATTGTTTGAGTTGTTTAAGAGCCTCTGTGCCACTTCCAGTCACTCTCAGGGACTCACAGTGTGTGTGTGTGTGTGTGTGTGTGTGTGTGTGCGTGCGTGTGTAGTCAGACATGGCAGCTATTAAGCTGTCACAGTGGAAAATAGACGTTGCAGCGCCTTCGACGGTATTCCCAGTGTTCCCTGACAGACTTTTGGAGGCTCCCAGATTTCCTCTGTCGGGGCTCAGTGACTGGCGGGTATTGACTGCAGGGGACCGGCGTCTTAGATCTGGCCGTGTGCCAGAGAGGCGGAGAAAGAAAAGAATGTGTGTAGGGTTTATGCTATAATCCTAATGGTGTTTGTCAGTGTCCTTATGTGTCTCAGGTCAAAGGTCACAAAGAGAGACAGATGCAGATAGAAATCACACATCGCAGCCCGCTTGTCTTTCTCACCCACTCTGCTTTCACTGTGACCCGATTGATTCACCATGTATTACGGACATCATGGCGCTTTATCCACACATGTGTGACTCATATATCTTTAGGGTTCAAACTCGCACACACACACCTAAGAACACACGCTTTCAGAAAGAAACAGAGGTTCGCAGAGAAAATTGTGAGACTCTCAGCCAATAACAATTTCACACCCGTGTTGTGAGCAGCTGCGGTGTCGATCAGCTAGCAATCTACGGTGAAAGTGCTTTTTTAAGACCTGAAACGTTGTGTTTCTGCTTCTCCGCACGACACAAGGTGGGAAAAACGCATCACCTCTGCTCCGCCCCTTTACATTTTAAACAATCAATGTTTAAAGTGGTTCCTGATATTTACAACTCTTACCTCTCCTCACTACATGACATAAAGCAGTGGAAAGTTAAAGAGCCATACGAGCTACTCTACATTGTGTTTACAGGGCTAAAAGGGTCCTCTGCCCAGAACTAAAAGATTCAGCCAGGGGAATATATTGCACCCATGTGTGTTGGAACTTCTCCCAATCATTTATGTCCATGCAAACGTTACCATTACCATTACCAATTTTGCCTTTTTTTCCCTCCCACCCCTCAAGCCAACCCCTACTCACAAACACACACACACACACATTAAACATGTGTGTGTAAGTGTGTGTGTGTGTGTGAGCGTCCTCCCTCCCTCAGTCTCTCCATGGCTGGATTGTGGCAGCAGCTTTTCTCCCCGCGGCAGGGCCAGGCTCTGGCTCTTCTCCACCTCATCGGCCTGCTCTACCCACCCTCGGGTGCTCTTCCCTGGGATACCAAAGCCAGCCCACCCCTTCTGGAGGTAGGACACCCACATGGTTATGGGAAAGAAAAAAAAATTAATACATAGCTACATGTCTTTTTAAGCTGCAGTTTAATAGTTTATGTGATCTCGGTTAGTGATTAATTTGCATAATATTCACACTTTAATCATGCATGCTACAACTTAAATCCTTCGTCAGTATCAGGCAGTGCGGAATAACTGCATTACAGACCACTGGTTTGTTTTAGATTATCTCTTTGTCACTCTAATCATTAACAGATCAAGCGAATAAAAAGCATTAAAAAGGCAGAACCAGAAGAGCCTGTTGAGATAGACATGAAAGCAACAGAGCAGTTAAACTTTAAACATGCAAAAATCTATGGTTACGCTGTTGAAAACACATGCCAGTGATGGTGAAAGCCATGCCGCAGAGGCACATACAGCGCCTGTACCTGTGGCTTTGTGTGCATGAAAGTGTGTCTATGTGTGTGTGTGTATGTTGGCAGGGCTTTCGGGTGGTGAAGGGGAATTTCTCCAGGACTTTCCTGCACGTTGGCTACCATAAGATCGCAGAGATTCCCACAGGAGCACGCAACATCAGCATAAGGGAGACAGTGAAGAGCCGAAACTACCTGGGTATACACACACACACACACACACACACACATATATATATACTTAACAGCAGACATATTTTCACCATGACAAACACTGCACTGATGCACGAACATGGGATTTTCCCTCCAGCTCTGCGAACCCAAAGCGGCCTCTCCGTCGTCAACGGCAACTGGGTGATTGACAGGCAGGGGAGCTTCACCGCCTTGGGGACACAGCTGACGTACCAACGACCCAACGAAATCCGCTCTCGCAAAGGAGAGTCCATCACTGTAGCCGGGCCGCTGACCGAGAGCCTGCATGTTTATGTGAGCAAGGACTGGAAACGCACAATGGCAGCCACCCCCATTATTCAAATGTACACTGTACACAAACAATACTACTAGTACTACAATGCTACACATCATCACATACCCCTCACCCATCCCTCTTTCCCACAGCTGATCTACCAGCAACCAGGTCCCAGTGTATACTATGAGTACATTGTGCCTTTAAAGAACACCCCCCCCACTC